AGTAGACCAGCAGCTTCATGGGTACTGCAGGTCAACAATACAAAATTAGAAAATGGCAGGCGCACTTGCGTCAGTTAGGAAACATAAGGATAACTTGACCCCCAACATGTTAAAAACTGTACTACAGACCCTGGTTCTATCGCACCTTGACTATTGCTGTGCCCTTATGTCATCATCGCCACAAACTCAAATAGACAAACTACAAGTTGTGCAGAATCGAGCGGCTAGGCTGGCAACAGGTGCACGTTGGGATGCCGACTTGGATATTTTACACACCCAGTTAAACTGGCCCTCAGTCAAAGAGAGATTGTTTACCGGCACAATCAACACATTCCATAAAGTAGTGAGAGAGAAACAGCCTAGATGTATTTTCAATAGATTAAAAACAATTAATTCGGCACATTCGCACAACACTAGACTGGCACAAAAAGGAGCATTCCAGCAATCTAAACCTAGAACCAACGCCATGACTCGGACTTTCATACACAGGTGCATTAAAACATACAACACTTTGCCTACTCTACATCACATCCTCAAACCCACAAACGTTTAAAGAAAAAATCTGGAATTGGACAAAAACACATAAAAACAAACACACACCAATTAACTCCTGGTGGTAAATGTTTTTAAATATATTATGCACAATCTCTTGACCTCTGACCTCTCAGACATCTATTATAAAATTGTTTTTGGTTAATTGTATAGTGTAACATTATTGATTGATGGTTGTATAGTGTAATATTGTCGTAATGATTGATGTGATGATTGATGTTTAAAATTGTTGTTAAGATAAGTTTTTCTGAGGCATAATAGCAATTGAAGTAATTGTAAATAATAGTTGTATTTTTATGTTGTATAGGACTCCAGGAAGAGTAGTGATGTACATATTATCACTAATGGAGATTCCTTAATAAACAAACAAACAAACAAACAAACAAAGGGGCACAGACGAGACTTATAAGCATAGGATTCAATGGTTACACTGTTGATACGTATACTTTTGTATTTCTGTAGCGGTGGCCGCATGGTGCCGATACAGCTGCTGTCCTGTCAGATACCTCCAAAGTACCAGCTGGTGTGTCCGCTGAACTGTACCGACAGGTTACACAGGAGGTTCTTCTGGCGAAAACTGCTAGGGGCACTGGACATCCCGGACTCTAGCGAAATTGCAGCCCAACTGAACGTCGCCTGTGAGTTTCAAGTCTTTATTTGCCCAATTATTTTTAAGAACGAAGCAGGCTTATAACCAAGGTACCGTCTTTTCGACACGACCCTGGGAATTGCTCATCATATCGCACCGTAACGACATTCGATTTTATTGAATAGTCACATTAAATTTTGTCCAAATAGGATATTTCAGCTGGTAACATCATAAAGTGCTGTGTGCCGCGTTACTATAAATGCAATCCAATAAAGGCCTATTGACAAAGCACCACCCCTCCCCCAAACAAAGTACAATAACGCGTTTATGGCATGTCGCCCCTTTGCACTTCAGATCCCGAGGGACGTCTGGACATGATCTTAGGAAAACACATGCCTGACGTCATTCCGGACCCGCCTCCTCCAAGGTCCGCGTGTGAACTACCACCACAAAATCCGCAAGATAATGGTAAGACATCTGTGTGGTCGGGTCGTCTTTTCTACAGGTTTCGGTGACAATTAACGTTGCAAGTTGACGTCACTTGAATATGCTTGAAAATGAATAGTTTCTGTACTATTTCTAGGCACAGACATGCAAAGTTTGTATTTAACCTCCTTGTTTGTATCAAAATCGATTGAATATGTCAGTGCTAGCATTATCTTATACCGGATACTAGAAACGAAACAGACTAAAAGTTATAAAACGACTGGTAGAATCCCTAGTACAGGATATATAGCTTCAGATGGTGTGATTACCAGGCTAAATGTTGGTGTTCTTTTTCTTCAGCAGAGCTGATGCCTGTGGACCACCAGGAACAGTTAGCACACCTCGTCGCTGCAGTTATCGTAGCAATCATCGTTTGTAAGATGATTGACATCTTTGTCAAGCTTGTCTTCGGGATTTGACTGGTTGGATCTATATGTAGTGTGCTTTGACGTCCTGTGTGACGATAACAACGTAAAAAAAAGCTTACAATGGGTAGAAACATGGAACGTAGGAGATGGAAGAGCATATTCGCATCACAAGAAGCATTATTTTCCACTTTCAACAAAATAACGTATATCTGACATCCACAGGATGGTAAAATAAAAAAGGCTAAGTAACAGACGATAGAAACATGTTGAAGAATTACGTTTGAGGATATATTGTTTATCATGTGATAAACTGTTCTGCATATTATTTTACAACCTTCGTCATCACTTCTTTTTGTCATGTGCTTACATCATACCTGTCTCTGGTGCTGGGCACCATCCACAAACACACCTGTACCAGGTAGTGAATACCACATCATCATCATCATCATCATCATGCCTCCGGATTTAATCCGGTGAATACTGTACCACATACACACAAAATTACCTATCCTTAGTGTTGACCCACGTCCACATACAATTAAACAGCCTGTCCTTGGTGCTGAAAACCATCCACTCATAGGCAAACATTGTTTTTTTTTTTTTTTTTTTTTCCAGGGCAAACATGTTTTTCTCTGGTTATGTGCCTGGTAATGGCCAGGTAGGTAATTTGTAACTTAGTACTAAATGTTTTCCTTGGACAAAGCACTGCCCATGGGAAAAGCAGAGAAAAGAACATAAGTAGTAATCAGACACTGCAGAAGTGACACTGTCAACAGTTTATTGCTCTGTTACTGCCTGCAGTCTGCACACATTGGAATTCCTAACCTGCAGTGAACACACTGATGAATAAACATGTATGCCAGAACTGGAATGGCTGTTTTACATACATTTTATACACAGCATCATATAGACATACAATGTTACACTTCTGAAACATTTCTTAAATATGCAAGTTAAATATAAAGTTAACATATACACGTACATGAAAATAAAGCTTTATGTCTAACTCAATAGGTGCATCTAGTGATAAAAGTTTTAGTTTCTTAAATAGATATACAAAAGTACTACTGATATGAGATTGGTACATTTTTTCTACAACGCATATTAGGTACAAGTGAAAAGACATATTTCAAATACAAGTGGAAAGACATATTTCTAACATAATCATGAATGAATGATTGGCATGCTGGCAGCATGCTTGGCCACCAATTTAACAAATCAGAGAAAACCTCTTGTACTAAAAGATAACCAGTATCCTTTAATATCAAGACTTGAATTGACTAATGTTTTACAATATCATAAGAAAGACACATTTAGCTATTTTCTATTTCTGAATCAATACTACACGTACGTTATATTAGGCTGTGCTTGTGAGCCTACTTACAATAAAGAGAAATACATGTACAATCACAAGTAAAACCAACTTCAGATTACCACATACATGGATAGGTACATGTATATTGCATAAGCTACTAGCACTATCAGGTCTAACTCACATATTTGCCTAGGCTGGGCAATCTTTTTATATAACTCGATGTTTCAGGAGCAAGACCAAATCATTCACACGAGACAGTACTCTAATAGCAATACATATATTGCTAATGGTAAAACCTACTTAGTTTTAAGTTAGTTTTTTAATACATGTAGTTTGAACTTCAGAATCTTGTACATAGAATTGATCAGTCATTTAGAAATGTTGCTAAAATTTGTTGACAATATTGTAGCTTGTGCAATTGCATAATAACATGTATAATATATATAACAGTTATACACTGATCACAAGAGCACTATCTGATACATATTTGTATGTTTATCTTCATTAAGGGGCTGTATTGTTTCTATTTGAGAACAGCAGCCTTCATCATATAGTCAGAACTGTGCACCTGTTGCATGTAGGATCCCTGAGTAAAACTTGAGCTCCACAATGAGACTACTGAATTAGTTGTAGTCCTGGGACCCGCCTGATAAGAAGAGTTAATTTGATGATCTACAACAAGAGAAGTTCCTGCATACATCGGAGAGAAGTTTGTCTGATCTTCACCTGAAGGACTTTTCCTTTCCAGCTAAAGGCTTCTATCTGTCCACTCTCTGCTATGCATCTATTGTTAGTATTTTTTATATAAACTCCATACTCGTGAATTATATAAACTCCATAATCAATATGGATATTTCAAAATGGATACTGATCAGTACAACTTATGCAAATATGGGTGTAATTTGCATAGTTACAGAGAACATGATGGTCTAAATTAGCGATTGTATAGATTTAAGTTTTCAAAAAGTTGTAATGTTTCCTTTTTGTTTGTAGTTTATCAAACAAATGTAATTTCCTGATTTTATCTCATTACAACTGACCAATCAAATCTACACTTCCATTTGTTCTGACTTTTGGTTGGTCTGCCTCATGTCTCATCATGTTGTTCAACCTTAGGATTACTACTATGGGGAAAATGAAAATAACATAGACATAATTATGTAGGAGATATCCAACACAGTACTCTGCACTTGGAAACATCAACATAGCACAGTGCCATGAATTTACAAAAACTTTCAAATTGTATCACTAGCTTTCTATCATTGTGTTAGTGAACTGTGATGAAAAGTAGGTAAAATTAAAAGCCATCTCACATAATACAATAGACATGTTTAAAATTGTACCTCACAATATACATTACACAATGTCTCTACTATTGTCTACATGGATGAGAATAGCTCAAAATTTGCCAGAATTTCTGTACCTATACTTTACAGTTTTGAATTTCACACAAAAGGTCTGTTTTCATAATGAAGTATGTTGGAATTTTGTAGGTTTCAGCATATTACAGGAAAAGGTGTTTCTGTAGGGCCTAAATATCCTCATTTTACACTCCCTGATCTTTGAATTTACTTCTACACTTTTACGTTTTCTTATAATATCCCTGAGAGAGGGCCAGAGTGAGCACAATTATTCTGCACTCCATTTCCTTTTAACAGGCTATCATAGCCAAAAGCCTGTGGTCTAAGATTTCATCATGATAAATGTGTTACAGACTGACTACTAGTATTTAGTGTTAGTTAGGTACACATCAAATGACCTCTACAACCTACACATAGAAAGAACTCTATTGACAAATCTGGAGAGAAGTCTTACCACTGAGTTGAATTTAATTAAAAGATACATGTACCTAGCACTCCTTTATAGGTTTGGCAGCAGCAAATTTAAAGCTGACATAAGGGACTCCAAGGTCACACCTGTCGTAGGGCCAGAACTTCAAGGTCGGTGCACGTTCAGGGGCCATGGTCACTGCCTCAAAGTATGCCATGACCACACAGAGCTCAAATGAGGCGATGGCGATGAAGATGTGCCTAGGAAACAAAAGGCAACTGTCTTATTAAGAGATCAAGATCACAGTATTACTCAAGTCTTGTACACTTTGAAAATTCTGAACTGACAGAGAAAAAAAAAGTCTGGGAAGAGGGGATAAACATTGCATAAGGTACTATACATATTTATCAGCTGAGGGTTGGTACTGTTAACAAATGTAACTGTTACAACATATTTATCACATGTGTGACCTACACTGTTAAGTGTAATAAGGAAAATGCTACGGTGTTGCATTATTATGTGAGCTACTTGAAAAATCCCTGCAAAGCATATATCTTTGCCTTCTAGTTACTTCAGTGATTCCAATCACTGTGCACTTGATAAAAGAAAGTTTCCTTTTCTGTTCACAAACTCACCAGCCGGAGTGGAGGTATGGGAAGGACACGGACTCCCAGATGTGGCAGAAGAGCCGGTCATTCAGCCAGCAGGTCAGCGCCAGGCTGAACCACACAAAGGCTGCGATGCCGAGGCGGATCACACGGCAATCATTACACCTGGGGTAGAGGGATTAGACAGAACATAAATCACTGAAAAAACTGCTTGAGCTTAACAATGTTATGTACATAAAAAATGCTCTTTAATGCCTTATACGACCATTTTATATTTCTTGACACATATTACTAGTAATTCTTTTTCTCAATGCTGTAACCAAATGAAAAGAACATTCTCTGTTTTAGTTCTTAATAGAATTTTTTGTTCATTGTTTCAGTTGTCACTGTAACCAGTGTTTTGACACAGATCTCCTGTGAGTTTCATACTAGAAGAACTAACTACATGTATATGTATAGGGTAAGACCTCTCACCTTTTGAGTTCACTGAACATACACATGACACTTGGGATGGCCATGGGCATGAGCAGGAAGTGGTTCATGGAAGGGTGCAGGAAGGCCAGGATTGTGGAGATGGCACCGACACCCAGCATCACCAGCATGAAGGACTTTCTGTTGGGGAGAGAAAACACCTGTGAGTCAACACTGGCACTGCAGCAAACACCATGACATATACATGTAACATTACATGACATTCTCTTGACTGTGATGTGTTATCTACCGTTCACTTCAAAATGACACCTCAACTGAGATGTTAGAGGAGAGACCTGTCACTTCAACTCTTATATGGTCATTATTTGTGTTACTACATGAGCATATGTCAGCATAATTGCTGTACATAAGAAAAATGCTTGTTAGTGATGGTTTTCTTTTTGGCAACCCAGCTTATCAATGATTTTAGATGACTGAATCATGCTTTGAAGTGTATAACCATGCATGGGATAGTCAATTTTTGAAAGATCAAAACTGATGCAAGCAATACACAGTGACATTTTTTATGGATGCTAGGGAATGCATACTTTTAGGTCATACAAAAATCCTATCAAGCACATTATGAGAGGGCAAACCTGCTTTCATGGCAGAACCTTGGAAAGAAGCGTCTTGGAGCCCACACACCCCAGGCTGCTATGATTACCCACAGGATGGCAATCTCATCAAGCAGCTGGCCCACCAGACTTAGGGTGGCATGGAAGTAAGCTGAGGACACACCTGAAAAGAGAAGAATTGTTCATCAAGCCATGTACATTGATCAGAAGTATTGTGATGGAATAACACATAAATGGTATATACTGGTACATCCTCGGCTGATTCATTCAAAACAGTCATACAGGTACATATTGCAAAGAATCTACAATAGTTGTCTTTAAGCTGATTTAACAATCACCAGCCATCATGATAATCAGAACATGACTGTCCTGATACAACATCATGCAAAAATATCTCTATCTATCTGCTTACAGTAACACTGGGAAACTGCTTTTTTTTCCAGCAACCGTCATGAGAGTTATCTGCAAAGGTGTAAATTTTACTCTAGGGGTGTCTCTCAAAGGGTATTAGATCAAGAGGATTTGACTGAAAATCCATTCTGTTTTTCTTTTCATTACCACCATACGTAAGTGCAAATGCATCAGGTATACACTGTAAATCTTGAAACTTGAAATCTTGAAAGTGCTTTTTCCCGGTGACACCATAACTACTAGTATGTCTCCTTTGTATGACTGTACTGTACTACAGAATTGTTTCAAGCATTAATTTAAAATGATGTGAAATCCCTTTCCCGCCTACCGCATAATAAAATCTGCGAAAGCAACTGAATTTCCAGTACACACCTACAACTGCTAACATCCACCAGATGAGGTTGATGGAAGCGTTGACCTGGCGTGCGTACGGGCGGAACAGATACATCAGCACAGGTGGCAGCACGATGAACAAGAAATTACTGATCTGTTGGGGATGAATAACAACAAACAAGGTGAAGGCTTAACACTAATATTCCATGTGCATCAACTTGGCAGGAGACCAAAACAACATATTAATCAGGTTACAGATGAACATTAGGTGACATTTTATTCACCAGTGAATGCAAGAAGCACAACTTTACACCTTAACAGCTGCTGCTGATACAGTCTATTCACCAGAGTGCATCTGCTTAAGTGCTGACTGTTCATTATAATAATATTGGCCTTCTCCCCTCTTTGTCTGCATGACAAATGCTAATATTAGCTCTATACTGGGTACATCAACAACATTTGATTGAACCCCTGATGTTAACTCTCCTTTCATATTCAGACACAAAGATTATCAAGCCTTAGCCATGCATGTATCCCTGATTATGTCCCATCATATCAATTTTTTTTCAATCCCATTATCAGGGCTGTTAGGTTTTGTGGCCAGATGCCACCAATCAATACAATCAATAACTCTGAGGAATCTAAATGTAGCTAAGTTGCTAAATATAACTCTGAAGGTAGCCTCATCTGTCCAAGAAATACTGAATCAGATACTGATCCAACGCAGCATTCTTGGATGCACCCTGGGATCTAAATATACATCTGCAATTTAAAATGTAATGCCATAAGAATTTATAAAGACCAATAGTCACTGAGTCATACTGCCACACAGAGGAGTTATTTTCGAAACATGTTAGTCATACTTACTGTGTTCCAGAACTCAGCGATTGCTGGGACAATGTCATAGTTGGCCTCGCACCAATCAACATCTGAGCTTCCACGCTCAAACTCCTTCAACATGGTTGATTGAAGGAATAGGCTGGGGAAAAAAGAAGCTACAAGTATTATAGGCAGAGTAATGCTAGATCACCATAATGGGTAATACCACCAAACTGTCTTTAAAATTTTATAAGGTCTTTCATACCAATTTACCTAATTGATTTTGCTAAATTTCCTTAAATTGGATGGTTTCCAGACACTGCAGGTATTAATTTGGAGTGGGTAAAATTTCAATTTGACATTTTGCGTTCTGTTCAATTTTTATTCTAGCTCATATTTTGTTCCATCAAAACATACAGTAAATTGACTGTATTTTGGAAGATGTTTACCCTTAACCTAAAACATTTCAACTGTGTGCACTCTGGTGTGTTTGTGAATTTGGGAGGGCCGCTGGCAAACAAGGAAACAATGGTGGACCCCTTAATTTCCCATCCCACATCTGCTTGGAGATGACCTAATCCCTGCGTTCCAAATACGCCAGTATGGAAGTCTGCTAGCGCCTCAAGCACCTTATGAAGCAGTATATCATGTTGTTGTCTTAGGAATATGGAGTTTTAACCTCCCTGATACAATATAGAGGACGAACATGACGTAAACACATAATTATAACCTGCGCCGTGGGAAAATCGCCTCATGTGACCTGTACGTATGGCTGTGAAAACATAAACAAAGACACCGACAACAAACTCACCAAGATCTAGAACCGTGCAGCGGGCCTTCCCGATTAAAACTGTGTGTGCTGATGGCGGTTGATGTCCGACAATCTGAATCTACAATGTGATTTTTACACGGACAGTTCAGCACCGCTACTAGCACCGACGATCCTGCTGGCACAAATTACGTCTGTCGCCTCCGCAATACCACCAGGGCTATACCGGATGGCGATGTGTTGCGTAATCCATGACCCGCTTCCCGACCAATCATGGACGGAGAAATCATACCAATCAAAATCGCACATTTCTCCCGCCCCGTTTTGAAATGAATCCAATGTGGGGAATCTGCAAGTAGATATAGGGGAGGATAATTCGTTGAAGGTAAAAAAGTAAATCGTCACGCTTACGCTAAAAAACGCCATGGCTTATACGGTAAGCTCATACGTGAGCTGCATACGTACCTTTGAGCCATCCGATCCAACCTCGACATGCATATGTGAGAGCCTTTATTAGGGTGCCTTTCAAAGCCAATTTTCTCATTCTGTTTCATTGCGACATTCAGGGAGATGCATTGCGACCCCAGCGTGGAAATGACCGTTTAAATAGGTTGTGATCTTCGACAGGTCTATCTATATAACTTATAACACTAAGCACAGCCCAATTATCCCCTGGCCCATGTAGGGTGGCTCGTGACATATTACACAGTATAACAACTTATTATCTCCAAGCAGATTCGATGGGGCAAGGGGACGAAGGACGGTAACGCTTATCGCACGGTAAACTGACGCGCATTCCAGCTAGATTTAGTTTTCTTATTATTGGTAAAACTAGGCTAATCTCCAAGAAGATCCTAGGGTGGCAAAAGACAATATCAAATTGGCCAGCCAGTATCCATTCGCCAGAGAGGGCCCATACCACCCAAGGGTGGAGATTAGGCTACGGGCAGTGTTCCACCGACACGACCGGACGCTCCGTGGGGGTCACTTCGGGATACGAAGTATTATCAATAATGAATTCTGCATCATGCACAAGTGCTAGGCGGCTGGAAAGAGTAGAAATCGGCCAAATAGAGAGATAAGCATGCCAAGGGAGTTTGTCCGTTGAGAAAACAGTCCGCCGCAACGGACAAACTTCCTTGGCATGCTTATCTCTCTATTTGGCCGATTTCTACTCTTTCCAGCCGCCTCCCCAATCCTGGTAGAGGCTACACAAGTGCTACGTAGAATTAAAGGGACAGATAATGTCATTACGCTTTAAGAATGATTTCCAACAAAGCTTATAGTTGAATTAGAGCGTAATTAACGTAGGTCTCACGAAAAAGGCATGCAGACCCTCTTCACACTTTCGGGTTAGACGACACCCGTGAGAGAGCACATTGCTTTTCCTCAACTGGATTTCAAACGACAAAGTTAATTCTTTAAAATGTCCACTAAGAGCAAGAGGTACTTAGGGAGATTTTGGGAGATTATGAAGTGACGGACAGGTACTTACCTAATGACCATATCGTTATCGATGAAAAGAAATAATTTCCAACAGTAGCCAACTTGGATAGCAAAGTAATTCGCGATTGTATATGAGGTAGCTGGGACTTACAAAACAACTTTAAGAGATGAAGTGACTCTCTATACTACTTACTTGACGAAAGGGAAATTTCTATTTGCAACAATTAAGACAAGTAGTTGACTTAAGCAAAAATTATCCTGTCCACCGTTGTTGCCAGGAGCTTGAGCCCAAACAAATCAACATGTAATCCGGTCAGGAGCGACAGTTGAAGTGGTGCGCTTATTCCACTTTCATAGTACCAGGGAAAGTGTACAATGTACTAAGAGGCCAATTTTCAGCCAGAGCAACGTTTGGTAATACCCTTCGTTCAAAAGTAACAAACGTGGTAAAATAGGACTTAAGTCCACGAGAACCTTTGACGGAGGGACTCGCTGGTGAGAAAATTCATAACAAAACTTCCCCAACAGATTACGTACATTGTTCAGCTAGCCTCCTATAAAAGGACATGGCACCGATAGCACAGCCCAGACTCTCCTATACCAAGACTCAGACTCTGTCATCTCCGAGTGTGTTACATAGACACTCTGAGTGATACAGTAAAATTTTCCTTGGTGCCTGCCTGTTTAGAAGAAGCCAGGTGTCGGCCATGGGGAAGTTACCCATGATCCTACTGGCTGTCTTCGTTATTGCCGTGGCAGGGCATACCCCGACAGAACAAGAACTTTCCGCGACTTCGTCAGAACCGGGACGCATTCTCCCAGACTGGACGATGGCACGACTTCGCTACGACGGCTGCAGGTAAGCGTAGAACTCTACTCCCGTGTCAACTGTGAGAGATTCAACTGTTTATTAGGATTATCATTTTTTGCTGAAATTACTGTTTATTGTAGATTTCTTCGAAGGGTGTTTTGCCGCGGAGTGAGTTTTTTCGCCACCGGAGCTTAACTTTCTCCGCGGCATAACTCGTGCGAAGGAGGCTAGTTTATTGTGTAGTTGTTCATTTCTTTTTGTGAGCACAGTTGTACACACAAATACACGTATTCCTGCGTTGGTATGTACAATAAGGAAGACAGGAAGTACATGTACGCTTTAGCAAAAGCATAATTCTCTACAAAGATTGGGAACTTTTTGTATGAACGCCGGTTAGTTCAGCGTCAAACATGCGCTGGATACTTAATTTTGACTCATACCCCTTCACAGGAGAGGCGCAATGAACCTTGGTGCCGTCTGAATGAAAATTCTTTGTATATTCCTGGATATTTCAAGCGCATTGTAGAAATTTTCACTACATTCCAAATAATTGTGCCCATTCTTGAGGTCCGCGTGCCCCGAATGTTTTGAGCATGTTCAAAACTTCGGTTCATCGATGTCCGTTCATCTGACATATTTTGCCCTGACAACTTGAACATAATTTCCTGACTGAACAAGTGTCTAGAAACTGTGCATTTTTCTCTCTTTTTTTTTTTTGCAGGATCTATGCGGAGTTTGAGCCGGAGGATTTGTCTGGTAAGATGTGTGAAGAGAAGCGGGAACTGACTGAGATTGACGACAAAACCCAATCGGCACTGAACTTCAAAGGTAAGAGTCAACTAGACTTACTTCCATGCATCTAGCCACAAAACAAAAAGCACTGTTTATCAACCTGGTATGTGATTTCTTTATCAAAGAAGACGATAACAACGTGTATCATTTCATGGTTGGTAGAGTCACAAAACATTGTCGCCGGGTTCTGATTCCAATTAAATTAGTGTATTGATGGACAGAATGTCAATTTTATAATCAACATTTTTCCAATCAACAACCCAATGTCAGAAAAGTAAAGAGTTGTCGTGAGGATTTGGTCGTACATTAGGAGTTGTAACAGTGGGTGGTTTATAGGCGCTACCAACTGACCCGGCCGATGGGTCTAGAGGCTTTTAGCTGATTCAGTAGGAGCGTCGGATTGTAAGCTGGCGCCCGGGGGCCGTGGATTCGAACCCTGGCCCGGGACCAGAAAGGTTTCTCGCCCCTCTTTCTACTGCTCGCCCTTGTTTCTACTGCTCGCCCCTGTTTCTACTGCTCGCCCCTGTTTCTTACAGAGTTGAAAATGAAAGGCGTCCCGCAGACGTGCTATGACGTTCTGACGACATGTATCAGAGGGCAACGCTCGTATGTTTGATAGCCACTTGGAATGGTCCATTCATATGCCGAGGTGGATTTGGAATCGGAATCCTCGTATACTAGTAGTTGGCGAGTTTACCGGCACAGTTAAACATTTCGGTTGTGGTTCAGGTTTTAAAAGTTGCATGGTTCTTGGGGTTTAACTTTTAGGATACTGACCGATAGTAGGTTTTGATACATGTATTAGCATCATCGTTGGATGTTAGCCCCATCGATCGCAGACTCTAGATCAGTCAGACTTAATCCTGATATATCCTCGTATGTTAATGACTTGGGAACATATCTGGTCCCGTTTACCATAATAGAACTCAAAACAGCTATAACAAAAAGTGTCATCAACATAGACTCAAAGTCTCTTCCCCCAGATCTATTCTAGAAAATGGTTATCATGAAAACTGTACAACGAAATTTGGAACCTACTTTTACCTTACCACAATACGTCGTCTGAAGTCAATTTTATTCATAGAGTATCGCGCCTGTTTCGCTAGTTTCGTTTCTTCAGTTTTCCCTTTCTATCGTCTTAGACGATCAATGAAAATGGAATTTCATATTTTTTCATTCAGCTGTACCTACAGATATTTTCCGTTTCTCTTTCTTTATTTATTCATTTTTATTTGTTTACACAATTCCGTGACCGTCCACGGCATTTAACTAGTATTTTTACCCAACCTTTGCCAGACAAGAGGTACTAATAGTAACACCGGTACCTGACGCATCAAAGATACATGTTTACAAAACGTTTGACAGGATATTTTCCGTTTTCGTTAGCGCCGTCACCGAAGTCCTGTTCAGATGGCTACTCCAAGTACAACAGAAAATGCTACAAGTTCTCAACTGACAAAATGGCGTTTAAGGCAGCCAAAGATGCTTGTCAACGGGATGGAGGACTGTTAGCAACCATCAATGCCCAAGACACCAACGACCTGGTTGTGAAGAAAATAAGGTTAGTAAGGTTCTTCTCTTCTCAGTTTTATGATGTAAAGGGTACTTCTGGAATAAATCACATAACGGAGATGAAAATTGAAGCAAAAACAGGCACTATCTATTGAATATTTGGGCCAAATAGTGGATGTGGTAAAACTTTTGTGTGTAGGTATATTATATATCGTTTGTTGTTGCGTGTATCAAGATGTTTTAACAGCTTAAAATGTGTTTCTTCCGTTTCTAAATGTCGACAGTCAACTTACCAAAATGTGAAGGCAACGTGTAGGCAACCAAGTACATGCATGGGAGATACCCCTGCGACAAGTATTTTTCCTTTGTTTCCCCTATGGCGTTTTCATCAAGAAGCAAGTTTAGGTACACATACTTTAGACCATAATGCTTTGGATGTAAATGTAGAACAGGGTTGGGTTAGCCTAGCTCGAGTGTTAGAGCCGAGTTTACCAGGCCTGGAAGATCATGTAGATAGTTTCTAGCCTGGTCAACGGGTCGGCTTCTCGATCGGGGTGTTGCCGGCCAGAGGTTGTCTGGCACCCGATAGGGGTTTAGCCGGGGTTTCTAATTTCTGCCGCACCGTACTGGTAACCAGGCTAATAGTTTTCATAATCTCCACTTCAGGGCTGACGGAGATTCGTACTGGATTGGCCTGAATGACGTACGGAAGGAAGGGAGTTTCGTGTGGAGTGATGAGGCAAAATCTCCTGCCGGTAGGAACATGGTTTTTATGCCTCACATGCAGCTTATGCAACATGTCGCTCACCACAACAACATATCTTTTACAGATTTACTTATAATCTGAAGGCCAAATAATGATGTTATTAATCAATTTATTTGCTGAAATCTAAGCTCTCACAGACTATCGATAACGGCGTGCCAACATGGGTCTAGGGAAAGGGATTCACACGAGTGCACACTAGCATCCATCCCAGACTTTTGATGCATGCGGCGGCATTAATTTTTTTCGGGGAGCGATGCGAGTTATGCCACGGGGACGGTTTTGCCGCCGAGGAGGGACTTTGCCGGGGAGAGACGGCTTCCCCGCAAATTAACGCCGCCGCATCAGAATTCTGTGAAGGAGGCACACTACGTGCCAACATGGAACCTGTTGCATTTTCTTGTGCCGTTGGTCATCAATTCTAATCCCCACTTTCCTTTCCACTTTTTTTTAAACTCAAAGTGTACACCAACTGGCACCCGGACCAACCTGATAACGGTGGCGGGGAGGATTGTGTAGAAATGACGAGGAACCAGGACTGGAATGATCTACCCTGTTCATCGAAGTTGAACTTCATTTGCGAAAAAGGTAATCTTCTACCTATGATACCTCCTTCCCCTGAATTATCTTTGTTAATGACGTTATCAACATTATACATGGTTGAATACATGAGAGGAAACATGGACAGTATCGAAAGACGTTTAAGACCAGGAAACATGGACAGTATCGAGAGACGTTTTTAAAAGAACAGCTGTTCCCCTCGTATGCAATACTTGTGCATGTACTGCACTTGTCCGTGACGAATGCATAATAGGTTTAAGGTGAACGTGGTTTTGTTTGAAGTATTTCATGTACCTTTCGTCGGTACCTTAGTACCATTGTCAACACAAGCTACAAGTTCAGATCTCCCCACAGTTTGATCGTCAAGGAATAAACGAATATCACTTCCAACAGAATTAATCGAAGAAATATATAAAGCAGCTTGGGGTTAAGAAAGGGCGCTGAGCGGAAGTTTTTTATTATTTTTTATTACTCATTGTGACACCACTTTTCTAACGTAGAGGTAGTTATCGGTCATTACCTTCATGTGCCTAGCGACTCAGCCTTCATGCCTCACCGTGCATGCCTAGCCATTTGCTTGGCAATGCGACACTACATTACGATCCTACCTCTCCCCAATGGTTACGTTTCCTGGTATCGAGCTTGTCTTCATTGTTGTTCTTCAGAAATGACTCATTGGACCTGCCCGCCTATGTACGGAGTGAATGCGTTTAGAGGCAAGTGTTTTAAATTCTCCGTGCGCAGAGTGACCTTCAACAAGGCTAAGGCCATCTGCCGGACAGACGGGGGGCGACTTGCTGTCCTCAAGGACAAGGGAACAGACGTCTTTATCAGGAAGAGAATCAGGTTGGTATACTAGTACTTTTTTAAGGTATAAAAAATCCCCCGCGATCAGAGGTTTTGTCCCAATGAGATTGAAGACGAACAACATTTTATTATGGATTGTCAACTAACAGTTATATGATGACAAACGCACAACGCTTTTCAACCTCCCTTCAGCTTACTCAACATTTCATGCTATAGATAAATTCTATTTCATTCTACAAGGTAATAACCCTTACTGTGCACAAATAGGTAAATATATCAAAGAATGCGCAGACTTTACAACAAGTAGTATAGGTTAATTCACTTAATAACTTAGTATTGTACGTAGGTCAATTCTGTCAAGTCAGTGTACTTTTGTTGGGTCAATAAAGTTCTATATTGTAACAAAAAAGACGCCAAAAACTACTTCAGGAGGGCGAGTATCAGACGTTATGAAAACGTCAGATAGGATGATGAGCATGAGATAAAGCTATGATTATCCTGTCCTTTTTGTGCAGGAGTTTGCCCCTCCACCGACGTGTCCTCAACTACTGGATCGGCCTGAGTGATGTCCAGGAGGAGGGGATGTTTGTGTGGAGTGATGGAACCGAACTTACCGCATCTGGTAACTATCACTCAGCTACTAACGTCATACAATGTCTTTACCTTAGTTGTTGTTCAAATCAAACCATTGACGGATCAAGACGACAGGTTATTCCGACGGCTCTTCCCTCTGAGTTACCAGTACCTGATAAACAAACAAACAAACAAACCTGATATATATCTAGATTCGCATGGATTTCGCTTTCCCTTTAGCCGGAAGTAAGTCCAAAGACAATGGCGAGGAGGATTTAATGGCCAAAGAACCTTCTCAAGTATACTTAGTATATAACATCACTTTGTTATATGTGAGTTAATACAATTTGCTGACATTTAAAATAAGTTATAGGTTTGCTGCAAATTCTTTTCCGGAGGCTAACTTTATAAGGATTATGACCATGACGGACTGTAAATTTTAACTTATTGTGTTTGACTGTTTTTTTTTTCTGTAGTAGAAATCGAAAGATTTCCATTAATGTATAAAAAAGTTACACCTGGCATGACTTAGTATTGTTCACAAGAATGCTCAGTAGGATGATAGCATCGAATTCGAACACAACATAGAGTACTTACAATCTCTATCCAATGTAGGGTACACGCACTGGAGCCAAGGCAAGCCGGACAACGCTGAAGTTGAACGTGGCGAAGACTGTGTGGAGATCCGTCAGGACATGAACTACACCTGGAATGATGTGGAATGTGGGAAGAAACGACGCTTTGTCTGTGAAAAAGGTACCACAAATTAAGACAGCGTTTCTAAAGAATGGTACAAAGAAGAACACATGTATGAATTCATTGTCAATCATGATCCACTGGCCTCTGCACATGCAGAACGCCCTACAGTTGCATTCAGACAGGCAGTTCACAGGATTATGGTCAAAAGATAAACAGGCATGCAGCCCTCCTCTGTTTCTCTTAGATAGCAAATAATCAAATATTTTTACTTCCACCTGAAGTCAGATACTAGTATGTTATAAAGAGCTTGTTCCTCTCAGAAGATCCACTCTTAAATTCATTTGTACTTTAAGCTACTGCAAGAATATCATAAGATGTAACCTAACAAATGGAATGATATTACCAAACTCTGGCGCTTTATTCACCGTGATTGACGTTGAATTAACGTGAGTTGGACTATTCTTGAATTAAAGTTGGACTGGCGATGTTCTAAGCTCGCATCTGACGGAATAATGTCTTCATCTCATCACATGATCTGTGCTAGAATAGAATAAAACAGTAGTTGCTATATACAGATAAAGAAACACCGTAAGGCAGCTTCTTAACAACAATTTGTGAAGACCGATCTAGATCATATTCTACATCCCATAGAAGGTGCTGTCACATGAAAAGAAATCCAATGTAGTTTTATTATTTCACTAAGTTTATTCCTTTTGTCTGCTATTGCAATTTTAAGTTTGGGTTTTCTTCCACCCGTAGCTCCTGTCCCCGACCAAATCATGTTGACAACAGAGGCACCACCTTTGGAGACAGAATCCCTCAATAATCCTGGTAAATCCCATATAATCTACAATTAAATGACTAGTACATTTGCAGTGCTTACAATATAGACTGTCACCAGTGTTGTAAGTATGTATACTGAACTGATTTATCACGATTGGGGGTGGGGTGGGCTAAGGGGTCAGTTTGTATCAATTTATTGACTGCAACGGTAACTAGTAACCGTGACGGCGATAGTCATGGTAATCTTATAGATGCGATTTTATTTTAAACCTGTAGGCCACGAACAACTTTACACCACGCCTGGGCCGTACTGCGCGTGGCTGGACCAGGAGCTGCAGGAGAAAGACAGAGAGCTTCAGAGGCAGACCCAGAACATCGCAGAGCTCACAGCTCAACTTCAACAGAAGGAGGGGGAGATTCAACAGAAGGAGGGGGAGATTCAACAGAAGGAGGAGGAGATCCAACAGAAGGAGGAGGAGATTCAACAGAAGGAGGGGGAGATCCAAGACCTTTCTACTGGACTTCAACAGAAGGAGGAGGAGATTCAACAGAAGGAGGGAGAGATCCAAGACCTTTCTACTCTACTTCAACAGAAGGAGGGGGAGATCCAAGACCTTTCTACTGGACTTCAACAGAAGGAGGGGGAGATCCAAGACCTTTTCTACTCTACTTCAACAGAAGGAGGGGGAGATCCAAGACCTTTCTACTCTACTTCAACAGAAGGAGGGGGAGACCCAAGCCCTTACAACTCGACCTAAACAGCCTTCACCAGATGTCGAGGTGACGCCATTAGAAGGTAACGAAAAAGTTGCAATTTAGAAAACGAAGAAAGGCTGTGCCTACCTAGCCTATCAAAATGCAATTCAACACTATCTGTCTTTCCTTGATACTGCATACACAAAGAATGTTTTATGTGATGTTTTGTTATCATACATTTAAAGCTCACTTCAAGCCATGTTGTAGGTATCCAATTAGCTTTTTTTCCAAACTCCGTTATCACCTAGATCTACACATCTAATTTATGCAGTTTTTTGCTTTGCCCATCTTTTTTCTACTGTACGACTGAAGCCGGTGTGGGTTAACCAACCTCTACAGAAATGGGTGTGGGCAGTCCCGAAACAAACCCCAGGTCGGTTGCCCCACATTGTGGTCATTTGCAACAGGCTGAAGTGAAATGGGGCCATACCACATGCACACAGGAAGGCTTTTTAGCATGTATTGTGTGTTAGAATTGTGATATCAACCACTTACCCCCTGTCTCTGACAGGTAGCGAAAGCCCGGAGTACACTACCCTGGGCTGCTGGAGGGACACATCTGACCGCGCCATTACGATCCTCGAGGGGACAGATCTGCGGCTAGATGGCAGCAACTATCACGAACGTACCCGCGCCATTGAGAAGTGTTACCAGGTAGCACTGTCTCTGGGTTATGCCGTGTTTGCTGTCCAGGATGGCGGGCAGTGTTTCGGGTCTGCTGACGGCCACAACACCTACAACAAACACGGGCCTTCCACAGCCTGCGCTGCGGACGGCGAAGGCGGGCAATGGGCAAACCAAGTCTACAAGATTAAAGGTCAGATTCAAGTAAATAGTGTAGAGGGAATTATCAAGAAAGTAAGTTTGTTAATATCCCCGTGTCAGCATGATAAACATAACGTTACGTTTTCTGAGAAGAGGATTTTCCTTGATGTCATAATAAATATCATTAATCGCCACACGACCCCAACCAAAACTTCTCATTTAAAGTTTGTCATAAATGTTTGATCATGTGTTGTTGATTTGCATCAAAACAGAAAGCTTCCCCGCAGCGTGTCTGATGGACCCGTCGCAGCGAGAGAATTGCGGCTGGTCGGGCATCACCCCTCATGAGTGCCATCAGAAAGGATGCTGCTATGATTCCTCAATACGATTAATACCATGGTGCTACAACAAAGGTGTGGCATGTTCATTTTCCTAGATATAATTCTTGAATTCAATGTATAGTATAGCATAGTATATGGTATAGAATAGTATGGTATGGTGTCTAGTCTAGTATAGTAAAGTCTAGTATAGTAAAGTATAGTATAGTAAAGTATAGTATAGTAAAGTATAGTATAGTAAAGTATAGTATAGTATAGTGTGTTATAGTATGGTATAGCATTCTCGTTTAATGTCATTCTATATTTTCTCTCAGTTAGTAAGTCATGTCATTTTAGTTACCTTTGCCAATCAACCATTGCATACAACATAGATACAATAATGTACGGAAATGATTTTGTGAAAACTAACGCTAGGTGAAATCTCTTTGTAGTGGGGGCCTGTAGTGAAAAGAGGGCGTTGCGAGTATATTTGCTATATATTTTTATATTGGTAAAATCCCCCTTTTCACAGTGAGCCTATGACTGTAATCTTGAATGTCTGTTTCTTACATCACTTCAGGTAATGATGCAAATTAATTTGGATAGCCTTTAAATCTTTGTACTGATGTTGCATACAGTCAAAGCTGCTTAAGACGGTCATTCCAATGACTGAGCAAAATTGTTCGTTATACCAAGGACATGTCCTTGGTTATACATGTCTTAACAGACGTGTTACGCCAGACCGACACTAGCTCGCTGAGAGGGCGTCACCCACACGGTAACTATTGTCAGCCAGCCAAAGATTAGGCAAGGTGTTTCTCTCTCTCAGGTTTATCTTCCTAGAGCGACTTCTAAAATTATGCTGGACACAATCAAATTTCCAACCACTTGTGGCTTGTCAAACAAGCGGTTGTGAATAAAGAACTTTGGTATTCAATCAGTAAAAATCAAAATAAAAGCAGTTATTCACCCGGCTGATTCAATCATTCAGTATTCACGGATGTTCTAAAACCGCTTGAACCACACGTCATTGGGAAAAGTTTATTCTCATTTGTAATATCGGCTTAAAGGCTCATGTTTATGTCGATCCACCCTAAAAGTGAAGTGGCGCAACGACTGGCGTTGCGGTCCGGGTTACCCTGCAGAGAATGGTCACCCCGCTGAATGTGACCCTGACGGGGGAGGGCCATGCTGCTCCACGGCAAACTGGTGCGGCAACACGCCAGACCACTGTGACTGTCAGGGCTGTGTCGACTACAGGGACATTAACGGCACAGGTCTGTACTGCACACACACACACACACACTCACTCACCCACGCACGGACGGACGTACTCACAGGCGCGCGCGCGCGCACACACACACACACACACACACACACACACACACACACACACACACAAACACACACAAACACACACACACACACACACACACACACACACACAAAGGAAAAAACACAACATTATTGTACACACACGCACACACACACGCACACACACACACACACACACAAAAACACACATACACAACGCACACGTGCACGAACCATACACATAGTCGGGTGGTCACTCGTCATGTTTCGTGGGTATACATATGTGACGATCATCTGTGTACAGTTCCACCCATGATGAAGACTTAAGATGATGCCTAGATATAAGACTGGTAATGATAGTTCTCTCGCCTGGGACAGGTATCAATGTCGCACAAGGGAAGAGAGCGTACCAAACAAGCATAATGGAGATATGGCATGGTGATGCCAGCCGTGCCGTAGACAGGAACACCGATGCCAACTACCATGCTGGTTCCTGTACACACACTGTAGATGGTCAAGGAGAGACTGATCCAAGCTGGTGGGTGGATCTTCGTCAATCGTATATGGTTAGCAGGTAAGTTTACAACATGTATAATGGTTCACCAGTCATCGATCACGATGGATAGCACACAAACTCTATGTAAAGCTTAATAAATAAGCTTTCTAAAGAAACATAACACCATTAAACAATAATGAGGATATCATTGATTGTTTAGAATCAAGTTTCCAATGTGTTTGTACTGGGTGTATGGTATAAAAAGTGTGCCGCTATGAAAAAAATGTTGAGCTTTTTCACTTTCCATCCATCAATAATAAGGTAGTAAAATGCGGACATAATCGTACATGCGGTAGCAGCGTTTTACAAATTTGAATCTATGGCCCGCTTCAAGTGGGTGTCTTAAGTCTCAAGTCTTAAGGTGCAAGCCCCAATGCAAGACCTTTCAGTGACGAAGGTGACCGAGGATCTACCAAAGTTAACAAGATTTATATGGTTTTTAAGAATATTCATACACAAAACTAAGTCGACATTGCATTGTTTTTAATATCTACAGAGTAGTCATCTTCAACCGCATGGACTGTTGTTCGGAACGACTCAACCCCTTCAACATCCACATCGGGGATTCCGACCAAGTCAGCGAGAACCCCAAGTGTGGTGGTGATCATCGAATCGACGTGAGCCGACCGTCCATTTCCGTCTCGTGTCATGGGATGAAGGGGCGCTACGTGGGCGTTCGTCTCCCCGGACCCGCCCGGATACTGACCCTGTGTGAAGTCCAAGTCTTTTCGGGTAGGCCTTGGTTACTTAACATGGCTACGACATGTGTGTGTTGTGGAGACCATTATGTGACCTTACTTCACTATATGTAATGTATGGCATTAACTATGCACGTTTAAATCAGGTGTTACGTACAGATGTATTATTTTAGTCACAGACTGATATCATGCGTCACGACAATTCCTAGTCACGGAAATACCATTCTTCACAGTCCAACAGCTACACCAAAGCTTTCAAAGTCTCATTCGGATTATAGATTATACAAGGAGGAGTGCAGATGGTCATACAACTTAAATATAGCCTGGGTGCCAAACCCATAGCACACTGGGCACAAAGTACTGGATCTCAGTGAGGCTCATTGAGATACTTTGTGTCCAGTTTGCTATGGGTTTGGAACCCAGGCTACTTAAATAGTGATATGGTCTGCTTTTCAAGTTCCACATAAAACACGCAGCCATATCGTCAGATGTATATGCTATCTAGTTATAACTTCACAATGCCATGGTGTGATAAGGATCACAGTTGTACTTACTCACTTTTAAAGTCAGTTCAACCAATCAAAAAAGGAAAAGTTACTTTTCGTTTGCAATATCGGCTCTTCTATATATCCACCCCAATAGATCCTTTGAGGTGGCGCCACGACTTGCGTTGCGGTCAGGATTACCCTGCAGGGAACGGTCACCCCGCTGAATGTGACCCTGACGGGGGAGTGCCATGCTGCTCCACGGGAAACTGGTGCGGCAACACGCCTGACCACTGTGACTGTCAGGGCTGTGTCGACTACAGGGACATTAACGGCACAGGTCTGTACTGCACACACGCACACACGCACACACACACACGCACGGACGGACGCACTCACGCACGGACGCTTTCACGCACGCGCGCACACTCTGACACACACAATGATGTCTTTTCAATCATTGTGTTGATGTTGCATACGTGTTTTCAATACAGTCAAACTTGTACAAATAATAACAGCTTAATAACAAATGTGAAGAAAATTTGGCCACTACCAAAATCTAGCTGAGCCATACTCATTAATTGCTAATGAGTATGGCTTAATACTAGCACAATGTATAGTAATTTCAAGAATCTTTGTATTAAGACTGAACAGGCTATTGATTCACTTATGTCGGGACTATTTTTACGATACAACTTTAAAGTGTGTTCCTATTACTCTCGTGCTTTCCTAAATCGAGATACGACAACACTTTATAACACATTCATTATTAGTGTCACCAAGCGGACAGCTTCCGGACCACGTCCAGACTTCCGCCACAGAAACCACCCAAAAAGATGATGAGCAGATGCTACACCCAACTGACGAGGTCCAATACCTTACAACTCCACTTGAGTATCCTCCTCCAAAGACAACAATTAGATCATCAGAAGGTAAAAAATGTGTGTAATTTGCAATGGGGCTATGCCCCTTTCCTGATCGAACGGAAAGCTTCCTGGGACATATTTTTGAATGCTTCAATACATGAGTGTACAGAAACATACTCTATGACTACTAGTATTCAGCTTTAATCTGGTAATGTTAATGAATTAGCTAGGTTCCTTAGATCAATATTGTTTATATACTCGCAACATTTGTGTCTATGGTGTTTTAATAAACGCCTAGGAGAATGATAACCGAATTAGGTAATGGCCACGGAAGAGAAATATTTGATACTTGATGATGAAATTGTATGTTCCTTTTTCCTTCCTCCAGAATCATGTCTGAGGGGTAATGGAGCATCCTACCGAGGAACAGTCTCTGTGACCAAAACAGGCAGGACGTGCCAGCGTTGGGACAGTCAGACACCTCACGAACACGAGCGGACCCCTGCTTGGTATCCGTCGTCCGGACTGGAAGGGAACTATTGCCGGAATCCAGACGGCGAAGAAACCGTTTGGTGCTACACCACGGACCCCGACAAGAGATGGGAGCTGTGTGACGTACCAATGTGTGGTTAGTCCTCATATTTCTTAAAGGAATAGATAATACTAGAACAAGCTCAATTATCGCTTTAGGAGTATCACTCTATACCAAACAGTTATGAAGTCACTTTTTTATTGCCTCCGGGGGAGGAGACATCCTTCCGCGGAAGGGCTTTGTGAGAGTTTTAGAATTTCACGTTCGCAGCGACTCCTCGCGTTTGAGTGGACGGATTCTTTTGAGACTCGGTACATGTTTTGCTATCGGGCTGCAGATGATGCACGTTCTTTTGTTTTTATTGTATATGTGTTTTCGGGCGTGAAAATGGAGCCTTTTGATGACCCCAGAACACCCCTTGAGTGAGAAAGTGGGTCGCGACCGTTGATCTTTTGCGTGTGTCAGATATAGTCGGTCTCGTCCACAGTCGCACAGAGGGGTGACGGGTCTCAATAAATTCTTAGTCTTGCGGCGCGCAACAATTGTTGTTGTGCACATACATCTTCTGTATGCGAGGCGCAACAAATGTTGTTTGGAGGGTATTTTTAGTACGCGTTCACAGGACGCGTGATCGGCAGCAACTTCCGGGTTGGTCAATGGGTCAGGGGTCAACGTACTCTTGCGCAATCTTTGTTTTGGATGTTTTCGGCGTATATTACGACTACTAACTTACAAATACCGCGGTATACGGTCTCAGACGTTCTCGGCGTGCATTTTTACCGAGGATTCAGACCTTTACTTCCCCGATTTATACGAAGAATTGGCGGAAAATGGAGGAAGTGACAATAAGGATGGCTTGCTACTTCAGCCGTTATTTTTAACGTCTGATTTAACGTTTCCGGTTGTCATTCTGAGTTTCATTACGAGTTCATTGCGGCAGATTAAATAGAATTTCATAAGTTCATGGGTACATGTTATGGGCTGCAGATGAAAATGTTGACCTGTGTTAACACAACCAGGAACGCTAAACACATAAAATTCAACACCATCAACTATACATAACAAACAACATATAGAAATATACAATAAAAAGCCCGGAGGTATAAAATCTCAGATTTTACTTGTTCATTTTGTCTTGAATGCTCTGCAAAATTACCAATGGAGCCAAAGATAGAGATAAAATTCTCTTATGAATCTGAAGAACCTTCTGAATCAGTTCCTTCATGTCCAGAAGAGGTGAGGTGTGTGCTGAAAAATACCATTGGTTCAAAATACGCTGTAACAAAATAACAGGAACTAATAATTCATTATGGAGAACAGATAAAATATAGTGTTTCAATGAGTTAGGGTGGCGGACCCCCACGAAAACCTGCTTTGTGGTCCCTCTGAACCGACCATCAACAAAAAGTCCCAATAGACAGCGTCCCCAATCGGGACAGATACATGACCTCCACCTTAATATGTTTGTGAAGATTAGTCATCCAGGGTTGAATCAACACAATAGTGTTTCAAACTTTCAAATTTAAATTGGTATCTAGTTGAAACATTTGAAGCACTATTTCATAATAACCTCTACCTTGTACTAGCGTCTAGACCCGAATTCCCACACTTAAACAATGTGGTTACTTCTAATGTATCTTCCATTTGTTAACCTCCAATGCTTGCCGCCCCCTCCAGATTCAAGTAACCTGCAATTTCAACGATCTTTCTTATGTCTGACCTGCTGCTCGATTGGTCACTTCTCTGATTCCATGATATGCAATTATAGTATGCGTAAACTGTAATGCTGAGAGCATAACAAAAACAAGTAGTTTACTCTAGCTGTGGCGTTCATATTTCTTTCCCAAATGTCACGTGTTTCTTTGCTTTAGAACCATTCTGGTCAGCGTCCTCAGAGTATAGTTGACAGCCTCAGCTGATCGTGATTAGATAATTAGAGCACTACCATCCTAATGCCCTAATTAATATAATCCGCTCCTCTTTTCTCACTTTAAAAGATTATTGTCCATTTCATTTTTTTCAGCTTCTGCCACCCCTGAAGTTTCCGGTTCGACGGAAGAAAGGATCAGCTGTATTGGAAGCACTGGGTACTGTCCGGGGTCTCACGTTACGGGAGCCAGGTGTGTTGATGGGTTCTGCGAGTGCTCAAGTCCAAACTACCAGCGATACACATGCTTACGTAAGTAAACAACCCCTCTTGTATAACTGTATGTATAGTGGTTCCATAAACTGGCCAATATTAACATTATAAAGCTCAGTCAAAGATCTCATTATGCCATCGACGTTACCGTTAACGCTTGCAATTATATGACGGTCACCACCTATCTTCAGAAAGATATGATAAATATGCACCAGGTAAATCATTACCTCGATGCCACACTGAAAAAAAACATACTAACGCAAAGCTGAGAATTATACAGTGCTTGAGGTGATGATTTACACTGGATAACTCGGTTTAATACTTAGCTTAGTTTGTGACCACATTCTTCACACATTACGACGTATAACCAGTTAGAATTGCTCTGAGGGGATTTTGGCCCTCTAACTGAAATGTCAACCATGAACTATTTCGTACTTTTAGGGTAGAATCAAAGTTTGCTTTTGTCGTCTTCCCTCTATCCATACATGGTTATACTAATTATTGAATTTCTCACCCAAAGCGGTTGTTGGGAGTTGTGCGATAACACGCGGCTCTCCAGTCGCCCGAGCGGAGGCCTTCCTCGCTGCCGACCCGATAGAGACCTTCAGCTGTGTCGCCGATGATAACAACGAGTATGAAGTGCACGTACTGGCGGTGTACGAGGCGGTCGGACCCACAAGGTTTGTCCAGAACACGTTTTCTCACTATTCTTTGTGGCATACTGATTCACCGTACGACATGTAGTACTGTGCTCTTCATGGGATAACATTGATATGTTGTCGCTGGAATACTCGTACAAATCATATATAACGTATACGAATGCCAAGAAGTCTCCATGAACGTACATAAGAAAATAGAGAAGGTTGGAGAAAATAAAGCTGACAGAGTATCTGTGGTGTCCCAACGGTCAATCAGACTAAAAGGGCAGATGATAATGATGATGGGGAACAAATATTTTGCATGATAATCAGACTTAGGGGTAGATGATAATGATGAGGAACTAATATCTTATATTAACTGCATTTTACATATATGTAACTACTGTAAATCTGTGTCAATTACCAGGGGTTTCCTGCAGGATCCTACCGAGGCAGCTGAGATGGAAGTGACCGTCAGTGCAGGCCAACTGTCCAAACCTCTGGTCTTGGTGTTCAGCTCGTACGAGGCCGTCAACTGGGTGCTCCACCTACCTGACGACATCGAAGTGTACAGAGTGATTTTGGTAAGAAGAAAAATCCATAAGACACCACAACTCATCATACAATACTTCATCATACAGCACCTCTCCATATAACACTACACAATACAATACCTCACCATACAGCACCTCGCCATATAACACTACACAATACAAGAGTTCCGCGATCTCATACCTTCGCCAAGTGATGTTAACCCTTGCGGTTGACGGATTATACAATTTAATCATCGATTTTGTAAATAAGAGCCTCATTTGCATGGATTATATCAGTTGATCATATTCAATCTCCACCCAATGACAGCCTTACTTTAATAAAAAGGCTATTATAGCACTTCTTCATAAATTATGCAAATGAGGTCATGATTTGAATAAATTATGTTTATTGATGTTCAGCTTCACTTAACTTCCAAATGTGGCAAGTATGAAATTCCCAACAGTTACAACCATGAAATTATAAAAAATTGCCATTAATTATGCAAATTAGGCCCTCATTTACATAATCTATATCCTCAGATGTTTTATCTCGTTCTCAAGTAGATGTCACAAGTGTTTCATAGTTCTATTATCGAACAAAGCAGATTTATAGAATGTCCTCATTAATTATGCAAATTAGCTCCTGATTTGCATACTTGTCATCTGATTATGACAAACATCACTGCAACTACCTACATACCTAAAATCACCACAATCCGTCAACCGGTTCTTGAGTTATCATCCTTCGAAAATTTTTCATCAAATGCTGCTGCAGTTCCAGAACAAGCAGCTAGGGGACCCAAAGTCATGTCACTTCTTCCCTACCCCAAGAGCTATCTACCAACCAAAATTCGTGACCCTAGCATGTCCAGATCACGAGATATCAAAACCGGAAGTTCTGCTGCAGTACCTAGGAAAGCCGCCAGGGGGCCCAAAATCTAATCATTTCTAGGTCTCATGAAGACCTACCCACCTACCAAGTTTCATTCCAATCCACCCACTCCTTCTTGAGTTATCTTGCTAAACCACACACACACACACAACACACACACACACACACACACACACAGACAAACGCTACTGAAAACATAACCTTCTTGGCGAAGGTAACAACACCACACCGTACAACACCACACCATACGAGTACAACACCACACCATACAGCACCTCACCACACCGCACAACACCGTTGAAGGAATGTCCTTTAGAATTTAGCACAAAGTGGCGACCACATTCTGTTGACGACAAAAGTGAATGGATCTTTTTAACGTGCGAAAGTTCATAATTTCTTCTTCTCGATTCTAGTAGTATTAATGAAATACCTTGAAAATCCCAACATAAAGCTGGATTTGAGCTGGTAACCTGATGATACTTTTCTTTATTCCCTCAAGTATTTGACAATGGCGCGTTTGAGTAAAGATCAGTAAAATCATGCGATAACTAAAAGAAGTAAACTGTCGCATTGCTGCTGAATTGCGTGGTAGCGAAGTCGCATTGCGCTGCTATACTAGCTACTTGAACAAGCATCATGTTTCACCTCAATAGAGGGTGACTTGACCCGGCTGATAAACAATATTGTATCCGCAGATGGCATACCATGAGGACCAAAGTGACGTAACAGTGCAGGGTGGAGCTGTGGACGATGTGCAGCGCCTGTCAGGTCGGACTGGGGCCGTTCCTGCGTGTGCTTATGGAAAGGATGACGGTGGCTGCAAGACGGTTGACCTGCTGGAATACATCCGTGCAGAGTTTGGGCCAGTTTCCTCTCTGACGGGTACATACAAGGCAGGCATGTGGGTCCTTGAAGTTGGTAAGTAAATCCATACATATTATAGTGAAGCCTTTTCCATACACCAAGTAGTGTCAACCGACGCCAACTTCCATCAATTCACTTCGAATTCGGCCGAGATGCCTAACGTTACATGTAATAGTCAAAGGCTAAAAGCAGACATGCTCCATCGTAACGTTAATACTCATACGTCAAAAAGATTACAGTGTACTAGTAATCATTTTTCAACTAATTGCACCCCACTCTCCGGAACATTTGACACCGTGACAAAGATATTTTCTTGGCAATCCAAGTGTATAGGTTTACATACCTGGCCTCTATCACAAATTGACCAAATTTCCAGTATCTAAGAGTTACGCTATTTGGAGCGCCCATAAAAGGAACCTGCAAAGTATTTTTTTTCAGACGATTGTCAGGTAGCTAATCACCGACATGTCTTTCTTGTCCTTCCCGATAGGAGCATCTCCTGAGTGAGGGGATCTCGAAACTCCGCCAGCGTCGCTCCATGAGGAAACTTAGTCATCATCCGACCCCTGCAGTAAGATAAAAGTGACATCTGGCAAGGATGATTGATCTGTAGATCTGGAATTAATGAATTATCGATTTTATCGATTGTTATGACCAGTTTAAAGGCTTTTATTATTCTTACACAGTGTGTGTTATGCACCATGGTTTCCACTGTTTTTAAATTTTCTTCAAGTTTTATGCATCACTTTTTATTGTGCACAATCACAAGGCACATTAACTCATGACGATGATAAGGTACCTTAAATATGGTATCATAAAGAAGTACACAAATGATGTCACCAGTGCACTATTGTTTGACTTTGTCATCTACAACTGTGATAATTTGAACCTCGAGCTCGGGAAAGGCTTTTCCTAAGTATACACGTTTTGATCAGTATTCAATTCCATGAAATGAAATCACATGAGTTGTTGATAATTCATCTGATATAAAGATTGTTGTTTTATGGAGTGATCATTATGGCTGTGATTTTTATTTGTCATTTGTATTTATTCTTTTAGCACAGTTATAAATTGAAAAAGTAAACAATTTAAATAAAACAAATAATTTGCAGGAGGGGGCAGAGAACCTTCAGAGCTTGTACAAGACCCTCCTCCTTCCTAACTCGCGAAATGGAAGATATAATCAGTATGATAAATGTAAAGGAATTAATGGAAAAACTATAATGATAATGCAAAGTCATTACACATTATGTCATAACCTATACTCAAAAGTAAGGTTTGCCGATGCCCGCCTGTTGTATGTAGAGCTGTCTACAGAATGACTCACAACTTCTGCACAAAGATCTGAACACCCTGGAAGAAATTGGCAAAGCAAGTGGCTCATGTAGTTATGATCCCGAAAAATGCTATACTAGTATGAACATAACAATCAAACGAAACCCACATGTACCTAGCTAAGAGTTTTGTGGTCATGCTTTAACACAACAAAACCGTATCTGGGCGTCACAAGCAGCCTGAAGTGGGGTGCGCAACTAAGGCTAAACGTGTATGCAAGTGATTTTACTAGCTGGTTGGGCATGCCCACAGATTAAATCTGAGTACAAACCAGAGTAAAATCACTTGCATACACGACACCGTAAGATCAAACAAGAATATGCCGCAACAGGATGGGATCCATGTACAAAGATAGACAAAGATAAACTGGAAAGGGAACAGAATCAAGCTGCAAGATTCTGCACGAACAACTATGAAAGAGGTGCTGGTTTAAGTAACTGTAACGGAAATGAAACGAAACCTACAGTGGGTCTAACTGGGAGACAGACGAAAAATGTCCAGACTATGCATGATGTACAAAACAACTAATAAACTTCCAGTGTACGTACCAACTGCTAAGCCCTAAGTACCTAATACCAGACCCAGAAAAGAACAAACTATCGCAGAAGTGGAACTTAACAAAGCAGAGTGGAACTTTCGGCTGTTGAAGTCGAATAGCCAGGCCCTTTTACTGAATCAAGGGCGGTTATACTGCTTAATAATACTGAAGACACAGACCTGAGATACAGCCTCCATCACGACCTATCCTTATGTCATAGCCCATCTTCATCACGGTCACAACCTATCCTTATGTCATAGCCCATCTTCATCACGGTCACAACCTATCCTTATGTCATAGCCCATCCCTATCACAGTCATAACCTATCCTTATGTTTGTTAGCATGACCGTGGGACAGTGGCCGTGCGTGTCGACATACAGTAAGATGCGTGGTGGCGCTTTTAAAGGTGGGGTCGAAGGTCACCAGATTATTTGGTCTAACGTGTGTTGGCATGCTGTTTGCCATCTAAAATTCAATAAATGGTATCACGACAAGACTCCGATCAACTCCTGTTAGTTTAATATTGTGTCACCGTCGTAGGAAAAGAAGCAAGACAGTTGTCAAGATTTGAAACTTGAGTCTTGTTGATAACGTTAGCTGCAAGCCTTCAACGATATTTTTGGTTGGGGAGGGGGCCGCAGCTGATCCCTGCCATGGACGAGGCGGTAGGGCTACCTGATTTCTGCAGACGCCTTCCGAAAGTGGTAAGAGCATTTTCTTACGTCTTGAGGAATAGATATAGATATATGAGAGAGATCTCGTTATACATGCTGTCGTTTGATGTGCTCGAGAGGGTAAAAGGAAGTGGACAATCTGTAGTAACGTTAATTAGTTTTTTTCTTTACAAAGTTTGTAAGATATACTAGTACGCTGTATGCTCAAAATCACAGGTAACATTTACTGATTGAAGCTCCATGCCTGCCTGAATGATCTGTGAGGGTACTCTCATCTGCCGAATAAACATACCCCCCGGAATAAACGTACCCCCCGGACAAATCTTCAAAATCAAATAAACATACCCCTGGAATAAACGTACCCCCCGGAAAATTACCAAAATTGACGGGTAACCTGTGTCTCTTGTACTAAAATGCACCCTTACTGATATATGCACAAATCTTTAACTGTTATTTGCAATTAGGAATTTAAATAGACAAAAAAAAGAGCATTTAATATTTTGTATTTTGATAAGCACCACCCATGACAATAGAACACTCAGACAAATTTATGCATGCAGTGATTGCAAAAACCGGCCCGAAAATGACAAGTTTCTCGCTACAATATGCGTTTATAAACGTCTTCACGTCGATGATTTGTCAATTTTTTTCACACGAAAGTTGAAAAAAAATTACTGGTTTTCAAAAAAATTAATAAACGTACTGTGCAAAATAACAACGTACTGGGTGGATGTTGGGCCAAAAAAATAAACGTACCCGTATGTTATTTGGCAGATGAGAGTATATTACTAATTGCAGGAGCTCCATTCCCACCAGAGCAGTTTATTCAGAGACTCAGAGTTATTCATTAATTGATTATTGATTGGTCATTGATGGGTTATTGATTGGTTAGTGCAGGATCTCCATGCCCACCCGAGTGGTTTTCTCAGAGTTATTGATTAATTGATTATTGATTCATTATTGCAGGAGCTCCATAACCACCAGAGTGGTTCTGTCTGAGTTATTGATTATTGATTGGATATTGATGGGTAATTGCAGGAGCTCCATGCCCACCTGAGTGGCTCGGTTAGTGAGACAACCATCCAGAAACTACAGGTGAAGAAGGGCGTCGGCCATGAGGGCCTTCAGGGGGACACCGCCATCGGGAAGGGTGAGACAAGACATCTTCAGGAGTAAGGCAACGTCTTCTCTAAGTAGATCTTTTGGTGCAAAATTGTAAATTGGTGGCATCTGAAATCTTCAATTTCATGCTTATTTCATCTGCCCCCCCCCAAAAAAAATATAAAAAACTATATATATATAATTCCAAATTTGTTCTTTCAAAGCAATGAATTCATTGCTATTTAAACTTCAAACTTTAAACCAAATACTTTCCAGAAACCTAAGTCTCATTTTGTTTTGTTTTATTTGTTTGTAATTAACTAAGGTTGAGTGCATGGCAAATTTCACATATATTCATCTAGTGAACAAATATTGTATTTTCCACTGAACACAGTTATGCTTGTGTTACTTGCAGACCCTTCCGAATCTTTAAGATCATCCAAGACCTGTCTGACACCGAGGAGTCTATCTTCATGGTGAGTGTGTGGTGCTGCTTCACAATCATACTTCTGGGATGGAAGTACAATGTATTGTGTTGGGTGGGCATGCTTTAGGGGGTTTGCATGTATTTTGTCTGCAGCAGCAATGATTTGAAGTGAATGGGTGGAGATTGTTTCAGTTAGGCTCTGGGTAGTAGGAACTGGTATGAGGAGTATGTACTGTGTCTATATGGTATCCTCACTATCTTACTGTTGACAGTTCCAATACACTCATGGACAACCAAACCACTTCCTGAGAGTCTGCAGTGTGAATTACAACCTTGCATTGAGGAAACTTGTTACTATGCAGTAGTGACCTGCAGTGGTTTTGTTGGTTGTAGATGACGGAGGATGTGATATCAGAATTTGCTGCAGATGGTGTAAGATACCTGGAACTCAGGAGTACTCCGAGACATATGCCTCACACAGGTCAGTTAGTTTCCTGGAGGTAAGGCCATTGTAAGTCGATGTGTTGGTTCTTGAATTTTTTAGGCAGGTATGTGAAAAAAAAATTAATGCTACGAAAGGAGCCATGAAGTCAACATCCTAGCCTGGCCTATGATTCAAACAATGGATTTTGAACAAACAAAATCAGGAGATACTGTAGTTGTCATCTTAAAAGCTGAATTTCTGATGAATTTTGTTTCTTCAAGATGAGTTTGTGTTACCCTGTTGCAGGTATGACACCCCAATCATATGTAGAATCCATCCTGTCTGCCATACAGAAGTGTAAGGACAGGGAGGATGTGGTCGTCAGGTATGCAACAATCATTATGGTTTTCAGTTGTCTATATTTTCTGAACCCCCGCTGTCTTTGGTAGTCCATCTGTTGTTTGCTCTCCATTATTTTATCTTGACACTTAATAGCAGCTGCAGGCTTAATACCTGTTGTTATAGATTACAACTATATAGGCTTTACATGGTGTGAAGACTAGTGTACTACTGCCGAACCCTGTGTCAGGGACCCCTGCAGTAGTGCAATGTAACGTTATAACCAAATACTGGATACACTTCAAGTTGATGAGATATTCCAATGTGCGAGTGTCTGTCCACATCTTACTGCTAGTTGAACAGTGCAGAGAATTTGACCCTGTGTGTTGCAGACTTCTGCTGGCGATCGACCGGCGCCAGTCCGTGGAGACGGCCATGACAACCGTCCGGCTGGCGCAGGAGTACATGCTGAGGTCACCTGGGGTCGTGGTGGGCATCGACCTCAGCGGAAACCCAGCTGTAAGGACACCGTCTTTGACCTTTGTTTTATGTAAACAGAAACAGCAAGAAGAAGGGTTAGCAAGAAAACTATTGCCATGGCAACAGTTTTGGTTTACTATTATGAAATTCAATGATGAATAAAATTTATTCTTCAGCTACATAACAAAAATCACAATAATCTGTCAATCCCTACAAGGATTGGCACATTCCTGTTAACATTACAGAAATTTCCATACAATTACTAGGATCCTTGCAGATTGATTAGAACATACTTGCAGACTGATTAGAACATCCCCTCTGAGGCAATGCCAAAAACTACCATACCAAACCCGGTGTGTTATGCTGAAGAGCAGTTACAGTACACTGGCTATTACAGATTTGATTTGAGCATGGAGGTTCATTCATATAGTCTTTTATAGCAGTAGTAGAAAAATGTAACAAGATTGATTATATTACATTTTTGATTTCCTTGTTTTACTTATTAAACCTAAAGGTGTAACACAATAGTTTCGAGCAGATTTAAGTACAGCTACATTACTCCAGACTGATATGATCCATGCAAGGTAAGAAACTGTCCCTAAGGCACAGAACTACAACGTAACTGTGTGATTGGACTGTACCATGTTGCAGGTGGGGGATGGGAGGGACTTTATCCCCGTGCTGAAAGAGGCACAGAACTGTGGACTGAAGCTGGCTCTTCACATCGCTGAGGTCTGTATTGCTGTCTCAGAAATCACTTTTCTGTATTGCTGTCTGTACTGCTGTCTTTTTCTGAAGCGCTCATGTTGCTATGGTAGATCACCAGACGAAAACCGAGATTTCCCTCGTGGATATCTGTGGATACTCGCTAGGAAATCCGAAGTTTCCGCGAGTTTCCACTGATGTCCAAGGTGCACACGCGGCGTGTCCGCTGTGGGAAACTTGTGGAAAACGTGGGAAACGGACCGCTCAGATTTCCATTTCGTGTCCTATGGTGGAAATTTGCGTGCACGTGGTCGGGATATCTGTGTACACGTATGGAAACTTCAGGTGTTTGCCTCTGTTCCACGAATGTCTTATGCATAATTTAGCGGCAATTATCGTAATTATCTCCCCCACTTGGTGAAACCAAATGCGCATGCGCGAGCCCAGTCGACACACCCGGCCACGCCTCAAATATACCTTTTGTAATGGAAAGTAGCATCATGGCCTCCTATCTCCCTTTACCCCTCCCCCGAGCCCCCTCCCCCCGTGTACACTATATGACATCCAGTAGATTTCTAGCGGGGACCAATCATAGGGCTGCTATTAGCACCTTGTTTCATGTAAATGCCATGAACTCAACCAGAGCGCGTATATTGTTTCTTGTTTACATCAGTACTAAGTACTAGTACTTCCACAATTAGTTTGTAAAATCATATCTTAATAAAATCTACTTTTCTAAATTTAATGAACGAATCGAAACGGGACTGTAGACATGAAGTTTTACACATTCAAATGGGGCTGTACTAGCGCTAATGGAGCGACTACTACGGGAAGAACAGATCCTAGCGAAGCCCTATCGGCGTCCGTCGGCATGCTTTCTTGATTTACCGATAGTATACGCCAAAATGTATCAGGGGTTCACGCCATTTCTAGCAGAAAATTTACTAAAGCGGAGTGATAATTATTTCTATTGTACATCCATGCGCTGTAGGGCCATGTACAGAAAACGTTAACGACATGTACTAAGTATAAACTTCAGAAAACTCTTAGACCCCGGCGTTCATATCAAGCTTTGCATATCCTGCTAGATTCTTTAGCGGCGGTCAATCTATATAGCCTGGTGCAGACGCAAAATAGTCTGCTATGTAAAGCCAGACTCGCAAAGTCCCATGGCAATATGTGTAAACAAACACAACAAAACTGCTTATAGATTGCCATACCTATTTTCTTAGGTTGGATACTCCATTGTGACGATAATTAGTCAGGACACGAGACGTTTCCAACAGTGGGAAATCCTGGACACTTCGCGTGTCCCATTGTGTGCACAGGTTTCCTACATTGGACACGCCGGGATGGGAACTTATGTACACGGCTGGGACATGTCAGGTTTCACCTACGTGTCCCAGCTTGGAAACTTGTGGAAATTCGGTTTTCCGTCCAGTGAGATGTTGATGTGACTATGGTATAGAATGATGTTGCTATGGTAGAGAATGACATTGCTATGACAGAGAATGATGTTGCTATGGTAGAGAATGATGTTGCTATGGTAGAGAATGATGTTGCTATGGTAGAGAATGATGTTGCTATGGTAGAGAATGATGTTGCTATGATAGAGAATGATGTTGCTATGGTAGAGAATGATGTTGCTACATGTATGATAGAGAATGATGTTGCTATGATAGAGAATGATGTTGCTATGACAGAGAATGATGTTGCTATGGTAGAGAATGATGTTGCTATGGTAGAGAATGATGTTGCTATGGTAGAGAATGATGTTGCTACATGTATGGTAGAGAATGATGTTGCTATGATAGAGAATGATGTTGCTATCATGTTAGATAATGATGTTCCTTCCAGGTGATTATTGAATAACACACCAGTCCTGTTCCCTGTCAGATATCCCAGCAGGCCGTTGCCCCGGAGACCTCTGCACTGCTGTCCCTCCCCCCGGACAGGGTCGGACACGGAACCTTCATCCACCACAACCAGGACCTCGCAGCTGTGGTGGCTGACAGGAAGATGCCTTTTGGTGAGATCACACAGCTCATACACTTAATCTTTACCCATCTTGCATTAGATTTTACCATTCCAAACCTTTGTTGGTCTGTAACATAAAAGATTGATTTTCAGAAATCTGTCTGACGTCCAATGTGAAGGCGCAAACTGTGGCGTCCTACGGGGAGCACCACTTCCAGCACTGGTACAGCAGGAAACAGCCCTGTGTGTTATGTGTGAGTATACACAACATCTCTCTATTTATATTTCAGTCCATACCATGGTATGGATGAAATATATTGTGTTCTCTGATGTTTCTTCTTCTTCTTCTTCTCCTTCTCCTGCCAAACAGTCAAAGGGATTCAACTGCGCCATCATTCAGCCAAATGACTTGAAATTTGGCATAGAGGTAGAGTGAGCCAATACCCCCAGGCGTTTTTTTTCATTTTTTGATACATGCCTTTGAAAAATTTTTATGAAGGTTTTTTGGGGCATTTTTCGCCAAAAAATGGATTTTTGGATCCTGAGCCCTGGTATTACAACCAAATGATCTGAAATTCGGTATAAGGGTACCTTGAACATGTGTCTACAGAATAGCAGTCACATATTTGGCATACACCACTTCCAAATGACTCATTTGGGGGGCTATTTTCAGCAAAAAAAGGGCCAAAAGTGCTATACCCGTTCCATGTTCTATCTAAAGAATGGCCTGTTCCATCTGTCATTGGCCATGGAACACGTGTTCCATTGCGGGTTACCTGAGGTCACATTGCACGTAAGTCGTGCGGAATGGATGAAATGGTTTATTAAGGATAAAAACCATGGCAGCCTTACATAGGCTGAATTGTGGTTCTTTCACAATTCATTCATCTTAGACAACATAATACAAAATTCTTATCACATAGATTAAAACAGGAATGTACGATCATTCAATATATTAAAATCAATTGGTGACTACATTATTTTAAAACGTTTTACTTATAGATAAGCTATTTTATACCAAGTATTTGCATACCTGTAATAAGACTAGTAAAGCTTTCGAGATTCAATGTGCTTGTTCTTGCATCTTTGTTCTCAATTTCATAGCTACTATATAATTCATTTATTTGAGAATCTTTGCCAGTTTTACACTGGGGTAAGTTTGGAATAGTCCACTTTTGCGTGGGAGGGAGATGGACTGAAATATGCTGTATTTGCTCCCAAGCAAATGTCGGCCTCTCTAGTTCTCTTGAGCATCCCCATACCAAATTTCAATTGATCAATTGATACATGTATTAATACAAGGGTGCAGGAGTCTGGAATATACATCTTTGGTTTGAAAATGTGCAAAAAAACTTGGTAAAATGATTCTAAAGGTCTATATCATCAACAAATGAAAAAAAAAATTCCTCACTCTTTTTGCATCCATAATTTCATATCATTTGGTCCAAAAATTAAAAAGTGGAATCCATTTGACCAAATGGCAGAAGGAGAAGAAGAAACAACAACAAACAAGGAGAAGTCGTAGACATCGTCCCTCCATGAAATAGCTTGTTATTTTGTAATCTTTTGGTGTATTTTAATAGAGATATTATGAGTCAAACTTTGTTTTTATCAGCAGAATGATAGATGTCTATAGATGTCTATCCTTTAAGAATTTTGTTGTGGCACTTCGTATTGGAAGGGGTTGCCCAAGCTGTCATGTGCAGGCGTTTAGTGTCTTGTTACCATGGTTTGTTTGAGGTCAATGACCTCTCAAGCACCACAGATGACCCAGTTCCCTGCTGAATGACCGATTAAAGATAAGATATATTTCCTGCAGACGTCTAGAGGTAAAAATAGATTGGCCTGACCTGCCAGCTGGAGGTATAAACAAAAACACTCTGTACCAATTTGGGGTCAAACAGACCATCCTATTATGAAATAGGGGTGAAAATGTGAAAATCCTTTTAAATAAGCAATGCAAATCTACGACAACCTGCTAATGCACGCTAAAACGCAAAGACAATCAGCGTCTACCCACATACCAAAAATGATCGCCAACCATCCACCGGGTTCTGAGATCATTCAACGCAAACAATCTGACATTGAGATAGCAATTCCGGTTCAAAGCAAACAGCTAGGGGGCCCAAATTTACATCACTAAACCATTGTAACCACAACTACATGCTACCTTAGCATCGCACACACGGACCATAACGTGCCAACAATAGAATAAAAAATTAAACTGCAGTACCAAGGTCAATCACCAGGTGCTCAAAGTCAACCTACACAATCTCCAAGGCCCCATCCATCAATCTGCCAAATATCATACAGTTCCTTCTCACCGATCTTCAGATATCAGACCAAACATGAAACGGAGTAAAAACAATACCCCCCATTTACATGGAGGGTAAACAATACAGTTCCCTCCCATACTGATGGTATGGAGTGAAACATCATTACAACCCTGCTGTGAAGTTGAAAATGTACGTCTACTGTTCCTGTACTTTGTTACAGACGGATGACAAGGGTGTTTTCTGCACCACATTATCAGAGGAGTACCGGCTTGCAGCGGAGACGTTTGGCCTGACCAGACCTGCCCTGTGGGACCTGTCCTACAGCAGTATAGACCACACATTTGTGGGGGAGGACCTGAAACAGCAGCTCAGGGACAGGTGGAATACGGAGAAGGAGAAACTGTTCCTCCAGACTAGATAGAACCTACGTAATACAAAATAAATCAACAGGAAAGATCTTTGAAGAGCCATGATTCAGACCCATGCAGTTTGTAATGATGACCTCCTTGTTAGTTTTAACACTATGATGTGTGGGGTAGTGTAATGACAGGAAGTTTGATGTATAATATTTGGTAAACAGTTGCAGTGTTAGGCAGCAGGGAGAAGGTTATTCAAATATAAAAGGGGTGCTTGATGGTCCTCTTTTCTCCACACCTACTGCAGGAAGAGCCCTTATAAAGGCGTTGACAGCTTGTATAATGTTTAATCTCTAACTGGGTGTGTGGCAGCGCATTGCTTTTAGCAGATCCTCAAGCCTGGGGACCATTCTCTATGTGATGGCTTTTAAGTGCCCTAACGGCCACAGTCCTACTGAGTTTAGGCATTTCTTTCAGACAGCCTGGCTTTTCAGCCAATATTTCTAGCTGCCCTGTAGAATTTAGGGATCGGTGTACTTTAGGTGTTGGGCTAACTTTACTCACGTAAGTTACGCGTCTATATGATCTGCTAGTTAACCAAGTAAAACACACGGAGACGGGTCGATTCAGATTGTACGGGCTGTTGTATTATGATCTATCTGCTGTATATACAAGTCAATACCGAGTCGATGGTCTAGTTACAATGGTCTAGTCTTAGAGTTGCAAGTACAATGGTCTAGGTTACAGGAGTGGAATCTACGAACTACAAGGAGTGTGTGTCACTAACCTGGGGTCCTGGTCTCGACTAATTCAAAAGGGAGCGGGCTAGCTAATATCTAATACTGACGCTGACTGCTCTCACCAGTCATTGGCTAATCTAATGAGTATGTAAATGAACTAAGAAGCTGGAGATCTAAATATGGATACTAAGCACTACGTCATATGTCACTACGTCACGGGAACCATAAATCACTAAATCAGGGCTGTTACACTATCCCCTCTCCTTTAAGCAGTGTGCGTCCTCGTACACTACCTAACTATAATCACCAGGAGAGTATGTTAACTAAAATCACCGTACAATCAGAACATGAAAAAAGAAGGGAAAAAAAAAGTAAAAAAAATACAGAGTTTGACATGTCCATACTATACATCAAGTGTCTTAGCTTGACCCAACAAGAGTACCAAAAAATGTCGAGAGCCGGCTACCCAACCCTACTCATCCATAAAATATTGCCGAAAGAAACCGAAAAAGAGTATGTCAATCTTTCATGAGGGGGAGGTACGATTTTTCCTGTGCTCTAACCGACTGCAGGTGTTTACTCACCTGTGGTACTCCTGTTTATGTATCCACCATACATAATCATAATCACACTTGTCAAAATACATGTCAAAGTAACATAGTCATACATCGCAAGGTAACACATGGCAATAGTAAGCTACAATACAATATGATACGTTACGATAAGACTAAACTACTATAAGATACAGATATTTACAGTTCTGAGTGTGCTTCACAAAGATCAGGACCAAGGCGTGACGGCGGGGACTGGCACATACCACACGACAAGGGGCAGGCGCACGAGCGGCACCGACGGAAGACGAAACTCTCACAAGAACACCTGGATAATCACTTAAACTGACACCCGAGTAGCCTTAACGCATACTCACCAGAGGAGAGATTTACTCCTAATCTCCTTGGAGATTACTGACTCAATCCTCAAAGTCATACTATACCTGAGAGATGGACACGCAGCACGCGAACGACGTCGGCTGGAGAAGCTACCTCCTTGACTACGGCGTGCAGAACAGAAACGTGTATACCTACCATCCTCTCAGCTCCGGAGGTACTTCACATGTCCTCGGGAACGACTAAAACTTACTACTACCTGATACCTAAAACCCAGGTACGTAGCCACAGTGATTCACAGGGGGGGACAGAGATCGACAACGCAATCGGCACGCGCTCAGGCGCCACCTCACCCCGCCGAACGATAAGTGCCGTCTAAAACCCAGTGTACGCGGAGGTTTGACCTTGTTCTGCACAACTCAGGTAAGGAGTCCGACTAGTCACTAGAGTCACTATAGTCCAGTGCTATGTAATCATCCAGACGCGTCGGTCTCCGTCGCTGCCGGCGTGGTCTCGGTCGCAGGTCGTCAACAGCAGCGCTCGTCGAAGGTGGCGTCGGTCGCAGAAGGTCGGCAGCATGGCTCGTTGAACTCCGTCCCGGGTCGTCGACATCGGGGTCGTCAGGGCACGTCAGGTAGGCACTGGAACCGTCCGTGTCAGGATACACAGCGTCCAGGTTAGCAGGCTGTCTCAGCATGGGTCGCTCATCGCCAACAGCGTCCCGGTTAGCAGGATGTCTCTGCCTGGGTTGTACCGGAACCTTCGGTCTGGTCTCCCCATCAGCCTCATCATCACCGTCGGACGTCTGGTCAGAACCTGAAACGGAAGAAGAAAAAGTGCCCTGGGAGGCCTCCCCCCCTGACATTACGGGACCCTCTGAAAGGGAAAGTGCGGGGCGCCGGTTACGGTTAGGGCGGGCAGGACGGCGAGCGCCGTCATTCCGCGGGTCGTAATCCGGATCCACCTGTGTGCGTGAGAAAGGTATGAGATTTTCAAAATGCACTACCTTCTGCTGTCGTCTCCCTCTCATGTTGCGCACTTCGTACGTAAGGTCGCCAATGCGGCGCACGACCTCAAACGGGCCGTCATACTTCCGCGCCAATTTCCGGGCAAGTCCCTTTCCTACCTGTTTGTTCAGAACGAAGACAGTATCGCCAATCTCGTAGGGCTTGCCATACGTTTTCTGGTCGAAGAGCTCTTTCTGTCTACGTTGCTGTTGTTGTGTATTCTCCTGCACCATTTTGAATACTAGCGGTAGGCGGTTTTGGATTACCTCCACGTAGTCATGGACTTCACCAACGAAAGTAGGGACACGCGCCATGAGGTGAATAGGGAGGCGAGCCTCGCGACCGTGCAGTAAAAAGAAAGGCGAAAAACCAGTGGTCGCGTGGCAACTGGTATTGTAAGCAAACTTGACTGCAGGCAAGTGCTCATCCCAGTCCCGCTGGTTGGACGCCACGTAAGCGCGCAAGATGTTTCCCATGGTCCTGTTGAAGCGCTCAACAAGACCATCTGACTGGGGGTGATAAGGCGTCGTCCGAGTCTTATGGATTTTCATCAGCCGACAAAGGCCCTTCACCAACACAGAATCGAAATTTCTACCCTGATCTGTGTGTAAAGACTGTGGGGGGCCGTGGACACAAATCCAACCTTTGTAAAAGCACTTAGCTACAGACTCCGCCGTCTCATCCTCCATTGGGAAAATCTCGACCCACTTAGTAAAATAGTCCGACGCGACCAAAATGTACTTGTTACCCGAACGTGACTTCGGGTAAGGGCCAGCGATGTCCATGGCGACGCGGTCGTTAGGGAAGCCGACTATGCTAGACTGCAGGGGGCCTCGGGGTTTGCGTCTGCCAGTCTTGCTCCGGATGCACGTCTCACAGCCGGACACGTGGGCAGTCACGTCGTGTTGCATGCCGGGCCAGTGGAAGGCAGACCTAAGTTTATCTAGGGTCTTGTCTACGCCTAGATGACCGCCCAGCGGGTCGTCATGGACCATCTTAAGTACGCGAGGGACGAGCGCCCTTGGGAGCAGTAGTTGCAGCTGTTGTCCCAGGCCCTCATTTCTAGTCCAATTTCTGTAAAGAACGCCGTCCCTGAATTCTAGACATGGCCAATGAGAATACAGCGTGCGTTGTTCCCGAGTTAGCCTTTGTAGGTCTAACTGGTTAGGTTGAGTGCCTCTTTGCATGTCCAAAACGAGGCAAGCCAATGTCGGGTCAGCACGCTGAGCACGACGAATTTGATCCTTAGACAAAGCAGGGATGGGGCTGAGCCCATCGGGATCCACCTGCCGGGCCGCGCAAATCAAATGGGGCTCACTGTCCAGGTCGGTTTTGCCGCACTGGTTACAGGGCCGTCGACTCAGACCGTCTGCGTTGCCATGGCGGGCTCCTGGTCGATGCTCAATTCGGAAATTGTAAGTGGCCAAACGTAATAACCAGCGCGCATACTGACTAGAGGGATTCCTCATCTTCATCAAGTATTGCAGCGCGCTGTGATCGGTACGGAGCAAAAACTCAGGGCCTTGCAAATAACATTCGTGTTTTGTAATGAACTCAACTGCCGCTAGCATTTCCCGACGGTGCACACAATAGCGTTGCTCAGCAGGCGACAGAGATCGGCTGTAGTAAGAAATTACCCGCTCCTGACCGTCCTGAACTTGACTCAGCACGCCTCCAATGCCGACGTCAGACGCATCTGTGTCAACAATGAAGGGTTTGGAGAAGTCCGGATAGGCCAGGATTGGCGCCGACACTAAGTGCTGCTTGAGCGTGCTAAAGGCGCGGTCGCAGTCCTCTGTCCACTGGAAGCGAGTGTTCTTCCGAGTCAAAACCGTGAGGGGTTTGGCGATTTTGGAAAAGTCTTTGATGAATCGTCTATAATAGTTAGCCAAACCCATGAACTGCTGTACCTGACGCACCGTGCGCGGCGCAGGCCAGTCAGAGATAGCACTAACCTTTTTGGGGTCGGTACGCACGCCTTGGCCAGAAATGACGTGGCCGAGAAACTCTACTTCAGGGACGAGGAATTTGCACTTCTCGGGGTTGAGCTTTAAGTTCGCTTCTCGGTAACGTAGGAACACAGCCTTAAGGTTTGCCAAATGGTGAGCGACGACGTCATCGGAATGAACAATATTGTCATCCAGGTAGGCCATGCACAGGTGAGGCTGTAAACCTCGCAAAACGTTCTCCATTAAGCGGGCAAAGGTGGACGGCGCCCCGCAGAGTCCAAAGGGAAGACGGTTGTACTGGAACGAGCCCAGGTGAGTACAAAAGGCCGTCTTTTCCTTGGCTGACTCCTCAAGTGGGACTTGCATGTACGCCGACCTCATGTCCAGCGTGGAGAATAGTTTGGAACCTGACAAGGCGTCTATGGTGTCGTCTATACGTGGCGGCGGCCAAGACGACTTCTTGGTGACTTTGTTCAAACTTCTGTAGTCGACACACATACGCTTTGTGCCGTCTTTTTTGTTCACGAGCACAACAGGTGCTCCCCAAGGCGACAAGGATTCTTCAATAAAGCCCAATCTGGTCAGTTTATCCAATTCCTGGCCAATTGTTTCTTTCGCCTGGGGAGAGACGCGTCGGGGCGGGAGCCTAACCGGAGGGGCGTCACCAGTTTCAATTTCATGGAAAACTTTGTCTGTGGCGCCCATGTCCTCCGGGGTTCTAGAGAAGAGGTCCTCATACTTTACGAGGAGATCAAGCAGTTGTTCCTTATGCGACCGGTCCGAAATGTGGCTTAGATCGAAAAGGGGCTCAAGTTCAGCCCGCACTTCTTCAGGTGACCGTGCCAATGGGGGGTCGGCTCTCGAGTCCACAGGTAGTGGGTGGGGCTCGAGGTCAAACGGGGTTGTTGCCGCCACGGTCAACGTACCGCATGTGGGCGTGTCACTTTCAATGGGGTGGAAAGTCCCTATGACAGTGCCCTTGGGAATGATCACCGGTTCCGTGCTCTCATTGACCAGGAACACACGTGTCTTGTTGCGTTCATCGGGAGAGTGTGCAGAAAGTTCACCAAGCAAGCCCAACCGTTCGAGCGAAGAGGCAGGCTGGACAATACCCTGCGCCGGGCACGTGGACTTACCCCGTCTCCACAGGGTCCCGGGCACCAGCTGTGCTGTCCGCCCTGCCACGTGCCACGAGCGCTGCGTGACCACGCGCCTTACCCCGAAGCCCGTCCGGCGTCTGATGGGAACTACCACGTCTCCCTGGCAACCACGTAGTGTCAAAGTCTGATGGCGCAGCGAAACCTCACACTCAAACTCGGTCAAGAAATCGGTCCCTACCAATAGTCCAGTGGCCGAATTTTCACATACTAAGAAATTAGTCGGGAAATACTGTTCAGCAATTTGGAGAACAAGGACAACTGTGCCGGCCACTGTCAGGTGGCCGCCCGCAACGCTGGTGAGAGGCTGGCCCACGTAAGGCGCTAGCGGCGGCGTGTGAGTCGAAAAAAGCTGTCCGAGTGCGTCCCGACTGATAATCGAAACATCGGCCCCAGAGTCGATCAATACCTCCACACGCCGGTCATTCACCAACGCACTAAGGTGAAAACTACCTGTGTGTGAGTGTGGTTCTTTATTCGTAATCGTATGTCCGTGTCGTGCAAGGGTCTTTACCGTTTGGGAGACTGGCCGACGACCCGCTAAGCCAGTCTGGGACCGTTTCCCTGGCGTGCGCCGGACGCATTCGGACAAATGCGTTTGATGTGACCAATCTCATCGCAGCCATAGCAACGCTTATTTTGGTACCGCGTGGAAGGATCTCGTGGCGGCCGTCGCCCGCTGGGCTGGCTCGCGCGTCCACCATCCTGGCGGGGAGTCGGGACCGGGCTACTCAGGCCGGGCGACTCCGTGCGCTTTTGGAGGTGGTCAATCCGGTCGCACAGCGCCTTCAGCTGCTTCTCGTGAGCCAGCTGCATCTCTTCCATCCGCTTCTGCATGTCTTGCACGCCCGCGGTGGAAGTTTGGTACACGTGCGACGACGGACGCGCGCTGCTCTGGAGATCCTCCAAAAACTGCAACTGGACCCGCGCCTCGTGCAGTGTCTTAGGGCGGCCCTTCCCCACCTCCATTGCGAGGTTGGGGTTGTCTAAGGCTAGTTTGTCCAAAAACGTCTGGATCCCAAGGTCGTCGCGCATTGACTGGTCAGCCCGGGGGTAAGCCAAGGCGACAGCCTGGCGCACCCGCAGTTCGAAGTCCTGCGGGGTTTCTTTGGTCCCACGTCGCAGGGCCTGTATATCACTGCGGTAGTGAAGTGGGTCCTGCGGTCGTCTGTACATCTGTCTTAGGTATCCTAAGATGATGTCAGCCGATCCGTCACGGATGGTGGGCGGCGCGCACGAAAACGTCGTCAGGGCACCCCCAGAAAGGTGTTTCAAAAGGACGGCCCGGCACGTGTCCTCCCCCCAGGACGCAAAGCGTCGCTCGTTGTCAAAGTGAGTCTCAAACTCCTCCCAGTTTGGTGTGCCGGAACCGTCGAAACGACAAAGTAGTTTCGGGATTTGTTTCGTAGCCGGGGCAGGCGCGGGCGGAGGCACAGGCGCAGAGGCAGCCCAGGAGGGGGGGACGACCCAGGGGCGGAGGGTGGGGGCAGGGAAGGACAGAGGGGAACGAGTAACGGACGGGGTGGTAGCGGAAGGCATGGTCTGAGAGACCGGGGTAGGCTGGGGGGCAGAGAGAGCTGAGGGTGGAGCGGGCGAGGTAGGGTTGGATGACACAGATGGAGCGTCCTGTTCAGGCGCGGAGGCAGGTGGGGGGGAAGAAGAGTCAGCGGCCGGGGTAGAGGGAGAGTCAGCGGCTGGGATAGAGGGAGCGTCAGCGGCTGGGTTAGAGGGAGAGTCAGCGGCCGGGTTAGTGGAGGAGGGAGCAGGGGAATCAGACGCGGCTGGGACGGGCCACGGCGCCGCAAATTTCCGTCTCGTAAACGGTCGTCGCCTTTCCGAACGGTCGTCGCCTTTTCTCAGAACGGTCGTCGCCTTTCGGAGCGGTCGTCGCCATTTCCGAGCGACCGAACTTCAGTTCCGAATATCCGCGGCATGTTCGGGACTTCCCGGAGTTCTTGGAATGTGTGAATCGCACTCAGTCCATAACATGGCGACCGTAGGCGGGCCAGAAAAGTAACTTGTCTCCTCAACTGCTGATTTTATAAGATCAGCATACGATCCTAGGCCTGGATCTTCTCCAGCCTATTCTTGTTTCCCTTCGCCAACAAACTGAAGAAGGGTTCATATAATGCCGTTTATACAAATGACAAATTGAATCTTCAACCAAAAACAAACATAGATTCCGTCCCTGTGCTATATTTCTCAATCCCTGTGGTATGTATTCCTTTCGTTTATGTAAAATTCATGTAGGATTAATAAAGGACCTGCTGTTTTAGAAGGGGGACAATGTCTTACTTTGACAGGAGTTTTGACAAACTTGTA